CATTTGATATTCCTGATAAATGCCTGCTGTACCATGTACTTGAATGAAGTATCCTGTTGTCTTTGTATTGCTTCCTTTACATGAAACCCTTGGTGTTCCTGACAGTCCCTCTGCTTTCCTATTTAAAAAAAACGGGCATGAAAGCACACTGTGGTCAGTTCTCTAGCTGACTCATCTCCAATGATCAGAGTTTTGCTGATCATTGCCCCCCCCGCACAGCCATTCAGTGGAAAGACCAGTGTGCTGCTGCATCCCCTCCCCTAGCTCATTGGCCCCTTTTACACAAGCATCATCCATTCAGTCACGTTTTTTAAAGAAAAAACGGATTCAGTTACATCAGTTTTTCAGTTCAGTTTATGTCAATTTACTTCAGTTTAAATCATCTGTTTAACATCTGTTTTTGCACCCATTTGTTACTTAAGTGTTGCAAAGACCAATCAGAGGTAACAATATTATAGTGCTATATTATAATATATATATATATATATATATATATATATATATAAAGTGCTAATATACTAAATAACACTAGTAAATAAATAAATAAATACTACTGTCCAAAAATTATATTGTCCACAATAAAAATATGCGTTTTTATGGTATCACACTATGTGAGTTCTCTTTTTTTGAGGTTCGATCTCCATAATCACTGGATCTACATTCGGCTGGAAGCCTTTTTGCGGACTGTCTTTCTGGAGGATTTTTGTCTATTTTGTTTTATTTTATTTTTTATTGTGGACAATATAATTTTTGGACAGTAGTATTTATTTATTTACTAATGTTATTTAGTATATTAGCACTTTATATATATATATTTGGATGATACACTGTTTGGGGTTAAAAGTGTTTAGGTGCAATTGGGGAATTATTTAAAGGGTACACCGTTCATTTTTTGTTAAACAATATTATAGTGACTGGTTATATTTATGATTGGCACACTGGCATTAAGTACATTTTTTTAATATTTATTTCTAATTGCAGTCAATTTTTGTGGTCCCCTATTACCATCCTGACTGATTTACCATTACCAACATAAAGGATTTTTTCCTTGTATGGATGACACAACTGTTATGTTCTATCTGTCCGATTAAGGTGATTATTATCTGGTCTTCCTGGGACACAACAAGGGGCTGAGGCTCATTTTTGATACATACAGTAAACAGACATGCTGTAATTTCTTTATTTTTTAGGTACTTTAATTGCAGTGGCCTTTGATGACTATTGTTCCTTTGACACACAGTAAGATTTTGACAGTCACCTTTCTCTTCACACTGAGAAGGTTAGTATAAGTAATCAATATATTTGGCTGAATGCAGATATTATTAATATATTTCAACTAGTTGGTTCTTACCCCCATATACAAATATACTCCATTTTCTTTTGCACAGGTGTGGGACTCCCTTACCTCCCGGTGTGGTTCACCCAGTGGCCATCTGTAGGTCCGGTGCTAGGTTTGTTCCTCTGAACATGAAAAGGGGTTCTTGGAAACATACTTTTTTTAATTGCTCTGGGTTGTTACCTAATGTTCTGTAAGCGGAAGGTAATTCTCCTTAAGTGTAGTCTTGTTCTATATGTTAATAAATAATAGTGTTAATCTAACGTGTATGTATTTTCTAGTTCAGACAATCCCTGATCCCCCTGATGAAAATTGTAAAGTTGCATATCGTAACGCATTGGAGTTCCTATAGAGGCGGAAAATATTATATATAAAATTCTTTTGTGAAATTGTCATATGTTCTCTGCCAAACAGCATGTCTCTGTAATAATGGGATGTTTGTTATGTACCAGAGCTCATATTTTAAGTATTTTCTATGCTTGGTGTACAAATAAAAATTTAATTATTTTCAATACTAATTTGTGATTTTTTTTTTTAATTATTTGTGCTGTAGTAAAAAGTCCAAGGGGAATATTTTCTTGTTTAGTTAATCAGAGGTGACAAAAGTATAAGGCCCCTTTCACATGGGATGGACACGTCAGTGAATCCGCTTGCTGAGTGGCTTGCAGAGTGGGGGTTTCTAAAGTGAGCACAATCCTCTCTTGTATTAGGAGGTATAGACTCCAGAGAGATATATATATATAATTTTGCCTCTGTACAATTCATTAGTAAAACCTCATCTGGAATATGCAGCTCAGTTTTGGGCACCAATTCCCAAAAAAAACATTGGGGAACTGGATAAAATGCAGAGAAGGGCAACCAAACTGATACTGCAGGAGCAAATTAGTTCATGCTTTGCTGGTTTTTTTGCCTTCGTCTGGTTCAACTGTGGGTGTAGGATTATAATACTTTTTTTTTTTTTGCAGTTGAACTGGATGGACTTTTATCTTTTTACAGCCAGACTAACTATGTAACCATTTGGAAATACTGTCATATGTATTTTTAGCTGATTTACATTATACATACATTTACTCCTGAAGAAGTGAATTAAGAGTCACGAAACGCGTCGAGTTTTTGGATGCAATTTTAATGTAATTATGTATCGACATTTGGATTGTATATGATCAATTGTATATCCAATTATGTATAAAATGCATTAATATGGATGTATTACAAATCAGCTTACCATTTTGTTCTTTTTTGCAAGCAAAGAGAAGTTTATTAATTTATTAAAAATTATTTATTAAACAATTAACTAGTTATTCATTGGTTGTGCGTATTGTGCCTCATTTAAAGTCCCAGGATGAATAAATTGTTTGTAAGGAGAATTGTTAGCCTTATAGTGGTATTAAACCCAAAAACAAAAATGTAATATGTTCAATCCGTAATGTGGTGGCTGAATTCCTTTTCTGGGGAGCTTTTTTCCTTTATTTTCACCTGATGATCTGAGCAGTAACACACAGGCATAGAACAGCCATCAATAAAAATAAATGACCAATGTCTAATACAACAAACTGATTGAATCAGAAAATGATTGCATGGAGCAACAGTGCACTGGAGGATTGATGAATGATGGATATTGGGGTTTTCAATTAACAATGACTGATCAGCCTTGTTAAAAAAAAAAAAAAGATTGGTTCTCATCGATCAAATGATGAAACTGGAGGTTATATCCATGATAGATTTACGATTGATGCAAAAGTAAATAAAGTATTACTTGATTGAAAGGGGTTTTTTTGTGCACTCTGCCCCTTTGTACATTTAACAGGTGTGTGTGTGACTGCGCCTATAGTTGCAAAGAGAGGTTGCAGGCAGCGTGTGCAAATCAATGTTAATGAACGCGCACATCCTACTCAGCAATATGTGGTGTGCTGATGTTCTGCAGTATTGATTAATAAATCTGTCCAGCAATACCACATAATTGGATTATTAATCAGTACTGGTTCTAATTTGGTTAACTGACAGACTGCTTAGGTTTGTGGGTTACCTGGTTTGCTCTGGAATTGTTGGCATTGTGATGCCCTGTAGACTTGGTCTTATCTGCTCTCTGCCCATGGAGAGGTTTGGTGAGGTGGAGGCTTCCAAAGCTCAGTCGTTGGCTTAGTCTACATAAGCAACTGATTACTGTAAATGCATTATAAATGGCTACATATACTACAAATGGTAAAATGATGTCTATAGATGGGACTATTACAATGTTATATGTATGGCATCATGGGATAAAACAAGTTGAAAAATAACAGAATTACTAGTTGGATCACCAGGTGAAAAAAAAAGGAAAAAACCCTAAAAAAGAACACTAATGAAGCCACCATATCAAAGGCTGGCCATACACTATACAGTTTTCTGTCCAATTTCCTTTAGATTTACCTTCAACTATGTAGTGCGAGGGCCTGCCTGATTGGATACAATTGAAAGTGTATAGTTTTGACCTCATATTATATGGTTTTGGTAAATCTAAAGCAAAGTTCTCAAGAAAATTGTATAATGTATGGCCAGCCTAATGTGGAAGGAAATAATTCCAAACTAAAATTAATTCCCATTAGACGGCTGTATGTAACCAGAAGAGTCCTCACTGGAAGATTTCCCTTCTATTCCTGTTCTGATGATTAATGTATAATTTTGGATTTCACATCACTTGACAACGGTCACCCAGACAATTAGAACACCTGTCAAGGTTTTATTTCTGTATATTATATAGGGCGCGCTTGTTAGAGCCCAACCTCTGTAGCTGTAGGATAAAGGCTCCAGATGGATATCAGGGATGGATGGATGGGAGCAGTAACGGCTGGATGTCCCACCTAGATCTTATTTCACCACACGATGAGCCTTTTTGACTATTTCTAATTGCAATTTAACTATTGTTAATAAATTGTCAATACTGCACTTAGAGGCGCCTTCCTCTCTTTTTCTTTTTTTAAGGTTTTATTTCTGTCTGTGTCTCCATTAGGGAGATCCACCCTCTCCATTTGGCCTGGTGACCATTATTGCCAAGAATGAAAGTGAAAGTAATTCCAGATGTTGAGGTGCCACCAGAACAGGAACAGGGGGGAAATCTTCCAATGGGTACACTAGTTCTGGTGACAACCAGGGATTCTCTCACTTTGCAGGGATTTCCTCTCACTTCCTGTTGTGGCTGTGGGACAGGAAGTGAAGAAAAATCGCCCCAGTGGGACACAGATGGCATACAACTGACAGGGGTTATAATGTTTCCCTCTGTCAAACTAGAAAACAAACTGGCCATATTTCTACATGAAAGTGGAGCTAATCCAAACAATTTAGCAGTTTTCCCAAAATAGTTACATTTGAGGTATGTGATGAATAATAACTGACACAGTTGCTTGTTCTCTCAATCAAATTGTCAAGTCATCAAATGGCTGGTGTCATAAGTGATCACTAACTGATCACTGGTGATCATAACTGATGTGCATGGTATATGATAGCTAAGAGCACTTCCTACGAAATATAGCATTCATCTCTTTGCCCAGTGATAACTAGCATCTCTTTGACATCCCCTGGAGCCTTTGCTGATTTGCTGTAACCGAGCAACCAAGGCAGTGCTCCCAACAGCGGTCTGTACCACCCAGTGGGCAGCACAGAGCAGCATGTCTAAAGGTATGCCGGGGTGCTTTGTTTCATACAGCACCGGTACCCAGGGATCAGCAGAGCCAGGGATTCTCCTTTGCTGCATCCATTCACTCCCACCAGTTACACTGGAGCACAGGACACCGGGCCGGTCTCACTTTCATGCAGATATGACTTCTCATACCCTACTGTGCCCACCGAAAGCCCTAGATCTACTAATGAGTGCATCCCCAATGTGCTGACATCACTCCTCTGCACAATAGGCTACCAGCTCTGCTACAAAGACATGAAGATCTGGAGCTCAGAGCATGTGTTCAGGTAAGTGTACATCTTCATTTCAATGTAACCCCATTGTCAGCAGGAGAGATATAGGCACCTGTCACATCGTATTGTACTGTCAGCCATTCTATACTGAGCTGCTCAATAGCCACTCACTGACTGTGTTCTTGGAGGGTCACGATTGCTTCAAATTTATTTAGAAAAATCTAAATTCTGGCCTCTTTTTCTTTATGAAGCCATCTAGTGATTTTCCATTACTTCTTACATCGGGAGAAGAAAAATCCAGATAAACTCTTGAAATAGAAGTATTGCAGTTCAGTAATATTGTGTGTTCTATTGGAATGGCGTGTGATGTCCTGGACATTGTCACCACATAAAAGCTGGCCTATGGCCTGAAAAATAAAGCAACACTAAACTTTGCCTATTCAAGTATATATTCTCAAAAAAGTTCCTTCTAATGCTCCCAGCCTGCTCCAAATCTTTTTTTTGCTGCTGTGATCTCACTTCCTGTTAAAGGGGATGCTATGTTTTTTCTCCATGGTCTCACAACGCATCCCCCCTCTCTTGTTCACTCCTGAGATGGACCAAGGACTATGGTCTATGGCAGTGATGTCAACTTTCTTAATATGGAGGTCCTCAAGTGTGGCCCCTTACATCACCAAAGGGCTGCACATAAAATTCAATGAATATTCACGATCAGAAACCACAGACACAAAAACAGGATATAGTCAGGATATAGTCAAAGACTATGGGCATGAAAAAGAGATGATCACAGAAGAACATGATACAGGAGATGGTTTGAGACTGTGGCCATGATATAAGAGATGGTCAGAGACTGCAGACATGATACACAAGATGGTCAGAGACTGCAGATGTGATACATGAGATGGTCAGAGACTGTGGCAATGATATAAGAGATGGTCAGAGACTGCAGATTTGATACATGAGATGGTCTGAGACTGTGGCCATGATATAAGAGATGATCATAGACTGCAGACATGATACACAAGATGGTCAGATACTGTGGCCATGATATAAGAGATGATCAGAAACTGTGGCCCTAATATGAGAGATGCATACCTCCCAACTTATTGAGATGCAAACTAGGGACACCTATTAGAAAATGTATGTGGGCATAGGACCCCCCAGTCATGCCCCCTTAAAGGAGAATTATACAGGAGTCATACTTTAGGAGTGGAACATGCTCCAGGGGGCAGTAACAGATCGGTGACACATTACATGAGACTGCTAGAAATCACTGCCATTACAGGGCTATAGAAAAACACAGATTAGGGATGCACATAAAGTGCCAAAGGGCCACATGTGGCCCCAGGCCACAGGTTGGGCACCAGGGGTCTATGGGATATGTAGTGTGTATAGAGAAATGCACATGACCACAACTAACATGTTCTACGATCTTTCAGAGAGGACATTACAAGGAGGCAGAAAAAACACAGTAAGAAGCAATTTCATGGAAAATAGATTACAGGGTCATATGTGTATGGAATATTTTTCTAGAATGAGAATGTTGTTTAGTGTCACTTTAAATTATTGTATATATCAATGTGCATCCTATTCTGCAGGGCTTTCTGCTAGCCAAACTTCTCTGCAGTTTTCTAGCAATTTCAACCACTTCCAGCCAACTTTCAAATGCAAAATATGTTAAAGTAAAACAAAAGGCAAAACTTTTTTTTTTTGCATTTTTGGATAGAGTAAGGGATGGTTAGTTTTTTTTTTCTTTCATCTGTGTCCCATAGGGAAGGTTTCCCTTCACTTCTTGACCAACAGCCAAAACAGGAAGTGAGAGGAAATCCCACCAAAGGTAGAGAATCCCTGGTTGGCACCAGAGTCACCAGATCTGGTGACCCCATTGGAAGATTTCTCCCCTATTACTGTTCGTTCTGGGGAAACACACAAAATATGGGAGCTTCTTTTATTTTCGCTTTCAATGATAATGGTAAACAAGACAAAGAGAGAGGGCAAGCCTCCCTAATGAGGACACAGCAATAAAAACCTGACAGGTGTTCTAATCCATCTCCACTCTATCCAAGAAAAAAGTTTTGCTTTTAGTAACACTTTAATGGTGTCAATAAAAATTTTTGAAGGTAAGATGCTTTATTCTTTTTTGGTAATTTTTACAATGAATATTACATTGAAAGTAATAGAAACTGCTAAAAAGTTGCCTGAGTATAGTTTTTGTGTAAAGACACACATTTGATCTAAGCTTTTTTAGCCTACAGCTATTGTGAGATTTTCAAAATATTTTTGTTAATTATTTATTATAAATTCTCAAAGCAATAGGCAGTAAAGAATTTGGGAAGTAGTTTAAAAACATTTTTAATTTTGCAGTTTTGTGGGAATTAATCCTGCTGTTTTCAGGCTTTTTGATTAGGTATATCTGTAACATTGTCATTGAAGGAACTTTCCTCTGAATATGTCAATTTCATCCCTGCCTATGGCTTACATAGTTTATGAGTCATGGATATGGAATTAGTATGTAATTAGTGAACCCATAACACCTAATCTGCTCATTTGTTCCAGGTTAGTGAAAAATATGTGCAAAAGGGTCAGCTTAGCTGCCATGAAGCTTGCATTTTCAGGAAATATCAGCAATGGCGGACCCTAGATTTCTCTCATAATAAGCCTCTTTAAAGTGAAAGTAAAGGCAAAACTTTTTTTTTTCCATTTGGATAGAGTAATAGACAGGTATAAACCCTGGCCTTTTTTTGGCCATTTGTGTCCATATTAGGGAGATTTCCTTTCATTTCCTGTACCATAGCCAAGACAGGAATTGAAAGGAAATTCCTCCAAAGTGGGGGAAGCTCTGGTTGTCACCAGGGTCACAAGAACTAACATCTACATTGGAAGAATTCACCTAAGGCAGCAATAAAAACTTGCCAGGTGTTCTAATCCCTCTCCACTCTATCCAAAACGTCTGCGCATGACCATGCTGACCAATCAGAACTCCTCTGATCCATCCCAGCATCCTCAGGGAAGGGAGAGCAAGAACAGTCCAGTTTTCAAACTCCAGGATCGCTGCACAAGGCTATGTGGATGGTGAAATTGTATCAGTGGGGGGGGGGGGGGGTTGGGAAGGGCGCAGGGTGTTGATTCACGTTTGTATTTTTTCTGAAAAGGTGAACTACCACTTTAACAATATTCAAAATGATTTTCTAAACTATAAAGGCTTGGGATGACCTTTTCAAGAAAATTGCCTGTGCAGCCAAGCAACCATAGTAGGTAGTGTCCAGGGGCGGACTGACCATTTGGAAACTCGGGCGCTGCCTGAGGGCCGGGGGTCAGTAGGGGGCCCCATGAGATGCCCCTGGTACCTTTTTCACAGGCTTTTTTGAGTTTGGGCAAGGACACAGGGGCCCTATGCTCCCCTATTGCCCAGGGGCACCATGAGTTGTCACTCCGCCCCTGGTAGTGTCCTTTCACCTGACAGTGACACCGATCCCAGCATCGACTACAGAGACATTTTGACAGATACAGCACTAAGCACAGATTCTCTCCACCAGCTCTTCACAAACATTACACTTTGCATCTTCAGCCTGAAGGCTAGGAGGGGGGGCACTGCACATGCAGTGGAAGGCCTCACACACCAGATTTCAGGCCAGGTTCCTAGGATAGTTTAATTATTAAGCTAGACCTATGATAGGGACCCAGCTGCTCATCAGGGTGCAGCATGTGCCAGACCATTGTACCTACAGAACCTCCGTCACTGGCCACCACCACTCTCCGTCCTGAGTTGGTTGATCCTCCTTCCATTTACTTTACACTCTTCACCACCCAGAGGGTTAGCTTGAAGGCTTAAACTTTGTTATCCACATCATCTTCACTGTAGGAGTACACTCTCTCTCCATCAAGAATCAGACCAAGCACTGTTGCTTAACTAGAACTCCTTTTAGTTAAATAAATGCCCTTGTACATACATTTCTCAGTTGTTTCCATCAGAATATGGAACAGCATAACATCCATAAATATGACTTTATCTATTTCTCAAGTGCTGTGGCTGTGGTGCTCGTACCTTTATATTGTACTTGTTTCCCACACGGTAAATAATAAAGACTCCATCCTCCAACCTATTTCAGGGCCCCACTATGTGGAAATCTCACTCTTGTTGTAGTTACTACATCTCCATGTACATGGACATCTTCCTACTTTCCCAAAGGACCTTGAGGTCCATATCCATTCTCAAAACAAATGATATATGCAAGGTAAGGCACATCACAGCAAATATTTAACCCCTAAAACACCACACATTAATTCTTTATAGTACAAAGCAGAATTAACACATAAGCACAAGTCTATAAACTTCTTCTTACACAGTGGCTAAGCTCAGAGAAAGAACACCACACATGCATGAGATTGTGAATGAAGGAGATACTGGGGTGGACACCCAACTCTTGGAGCGTTCTTAGCAACAAGGCAAGACACAGGAATGCTAACTATGGGAGTTTTTCGGTTAGGCTTTGGTAGAGGGGGGTTGGAGGGGAATGGCCTAAAGGTATGGCAATTAAATTTTTCAAAACTGCACAGGTTTTTCCACTTACTGTGGCTCCTTAACTTCACCTGTATCTTGAAAAGTTGAACTTAGTCTTTAACATGTTAAAGCTAATATAATAATTTAGCTATTGAGATTTACATATACTTTAATGCTGGTTCTATTTCATACCTTTATTTTCACTGCTAGAATGTCATTTTGTTTCAGTTATAGCTTACATTTCTTTTCAAACCTGAATTCTGCTCAGACCTGAGGGCAAAGTCATTACACAGTGTAACTGTGCCCATTTCACTTAATGAACCTCTCATAGATGTCTGGCAGAACAGCCCCGTGTTCATAACCTGGATCAAGTTACCGCATTATTCATGTGACACACAGCTATATTCCTTTTGTCATTTGGTTGGTTTTCTATTAAAAATTAAAAACACACAGTCCTGCTGAATTTCATTTGTTCTACTTTTTGTATACCAGTTGACAAGGGAACAAAAGAGAAGAAAAAAAGAGGGGCAAGATTATTGGAGAGCAGTACGATGGCTCTACAGGGCTGAGATTGATCATGGATATATTGTGTTTGTACTGTATGTTGAGACTCAGATCTGTCATACAATTCTAATACAAGATATAGAACATAAATGGCTTTTCGGCAGTTATATTTAGTATACCTTAGTTTTGTCTGTGTCTTCCATACTTCAAATGTATTTGTCCAGGAGAAAGTGCTATCATTTTCTGTGGGTACAGTAGTGATACACAAACCAACAAAAAAATTAACAGACAGCAATTTTGGGAAACAGACACATATACACATAGTATTAGAAATCAGAAAGGTAAATTGGCCATACATATTAAAGCAAAACTACATTGCATCTGAGCATCACAAAAAAAAAAACACTATTTAATTCATTTTTAGTATTCAAAGCAAACACACCCATCCATCCATGTCGTTATGCTTGATTTTTTTTGAGACATCACTTTGAAAAGCACCCCCTAGTATTTTTGGTCATTGCCATCTTGAGAAACGGCAGATGTTTTATGTAGCACTTCCTGGAATCCATCTGCCCTTAGCTCAGGCATTGTGCAGCAGGGTGTGCTTAGCTAAGGAAACCCCATCTTCCCTCCTGAAGACTCCTGGGATGAATTACATCATTTGCCTAGGCCTGGAAACTGAAGAATGTAAAAATAAATTAATAAACAAATAAAACAAGTAAATATTATGTATTTTCATAATTACTAATGCTAGCAGCATAAGGATTAAAAACAGTCAATGTTGATTGAAAGAGTGAAGTTCCACTTTAATGTTGGGATTTCGTGCGTTTGGCCGGTATGCTGAATTAAAGATATCACTTGATTCTCCTATCTATGCTAAGCAACATGGAATGATGCAGTACCAGCTATGTTATTCTAACAGCCAGCACCCAGAGCTGTCAAAAAAAGAAAACTGTTTCTGGATCCAGGTGCTGCCAACAGGGCCCCCCATGGCATTAATTTTAGCTGATGCAGCAGGAAGAGGACAAAATTCAATCTGTGTATGGCCAGAGTAGTGAGTTAAAGAGTGGGAGTGGGGAGAGCGAGTCACAGTGATGAGAATAATCATAAACTATTTGATAGTGATTTAGAAAGCTAAGGTCCACAAAGACACAAAAACCTTGCAACAATAAATGCCAAAAACCCTGCAGCCACTCCAATCCATTAAAAAGTGCCTCACACACAAAAGGAACTTTTAGTATTACTGGATCACACAGCAGCATCTCCAGTATCTTGTTCAATGCAACAGCTGCAATCAGGGATGTTACATTGATGAGACCCACCCCCGAGGATCAGATTAACTTGACTTAACATGTGCTTAACTTTTTTGTGCTCACTTTTTTGTGGCACTGGGTGTTTAGTTATTTGTATGCGCACTGCATGTGCACTGGAAGTGCAACAATCTGTTTTTGTCTATGGGACTTTAAAGCAATCACTGTCTCAAAGTAATGATTGGATGCTTTCCACTAATGCTGGATTCAGGTCTTCAGGGCAAGACACAAGAGTCCTCAAAGAATATATGAAACCATTGCTTCAACTGAACCTACTATCCAATAAATAACACATTTCCATTTTCAGTGCTATCCAGTATTTGTGTTATATTTTACTCATACACCTTGTGTGTGTTCCAGGACTGCAAAGAATAGTAACTCACGGCAAACCATCTGATTTCCATTTACTGCAGTCTAATCAAATTGTTTGGATTGGATGCTGTGGGTTATTATATTTTTTTCCCATTACTTTCATACTTTAGTTTTGGTAAAAAGTTGTGCATTATATATCTAACCAGTGTCAACTGTGAGTAAATGATACCAATAATATCATGAATTCCTGGGTTTTGCTGTTATTATCTTCTACCTGCCAGTCAGTAAACTCACTTGGAAGAGTCTCTGTTCAGTGCTGATGTGCCCTGAATGTAAAACAGCTAACATCAGAACTTCTTTTATGCAATCTGCATGGCTCAACAGCTACGTAATTCAGAAGTATTATTTGTTCTGGGCTGTCAGATCCAAATTTCTCCAAAGCTAGCACAATAGTAAATTGGTTGTAGCTAAAGTAAAAGCTTGCAGCAAAAAACTTTGTTATGAACAGCACAGCAGTTAAAAGTGTCTGCTGAATCTACCTCGAATAAACCACATACTAAAATTATAGACAAGAAAGCCCCCACATAATAACTACTAAAATCCATCAAAAGGGTTGATTGCCTAAACAGCTAGCAAACAGAATAAAAGTACAGTTTCCTAACTGACCTTAACCTCTCCCTATGCAGTTTGCCAGCTTTCCCTACAGAAGATTCAATATACTGTCATTATTACTGCTATGTGCCTTTTCTCCCCTTTTTAAGAAGGGAACTGGGTTTTCCAAAAACCCCTCATTGGCCATTCTAAGCATTGCGTTATAAAATAAAATTACCTGGGTGAATTAGACATAAATTGGCCGAGGGTGGAAATTTCAAACCCACAGAATTCACTGTGACCCTATATTAGCAGAAAACCCAAACCTGATCCCTAATGTTATTCTTCTTAGAGATAGCTCCATGCATACCTGTTTTTCAGTTAAGCCTTACAGCTTGGTCATGCTCATGACCTGCTGATTGGACAGTGAAGACGCATTCCTACAGTAATGAAGTAATTACTGTGCTCTCTCCTCCTGTCACCAAGTTGCCAGTACCTGAATGGCAGCACTGTGAAGTGCTGGCCTTTTCTTTCCTTCCTGTACCTACTTTGTGACTGGACAGTGAAAGGAGAAGCAGCATACTGATGAGCTCATCTCTTTGTCACTTCTATTAGTATCATCACAGCTGATTGGCACCTTGTGCTCTTCTTCCAGATACCAAGTCAAATTTAGTTAGTTAAACTGCTTGCATGTACATTGCAAAATAAATTTAATGATGAATAATACAGAACTGCATTCATTTGTGTCTTTTATATCTGCCTAAAGTTCAGCTTTAACATTCTACTGGATTATATCCCTGTCTTCCTTCCTTCCTTTATATTGATGATGTGCCCAGCATCTGATTCTATGTTTTTTTCATAAATAACTACATAACCTAATGATGTTCCATATTCCTATTATTACTGTAGTATAATCATTAAATGGACTTATAAAAAATTTAGAAATATTTTCATTTACTTATTTTTCTGGAGCCATCCTTGGGATGCCGTAATTAAAGCAGCCATGAGGAAATACCCAAATCCCATGAATCCTTGTGTGGTCGGGGTGGATGTGGTTGATCGAAGCTTGGATCCCCAAGGAAGATTACACAGCCATCGCCTTCTCAGCACAGAGTGGAGGCTGCCAGGTCTTGTGAGGGCTGTAAGTACATAATGTTACTTACTTTTAATTATTCAACTCTTTTAATGCTTTTGTACTTTAGCCCGGAGGTGCTAAGGCTTCTTGTGTCTATGTGCAGTGTACATTCCCGCTTAATTTACGATTATTCCACAAAATATTGTCATGTGAAATTATCTGAAAACCTTTAAAACCTGGGTTCGTTGGTAGAACATTCTTCTCAATTTTTTCCTGGAACATGTTAATTTCTTGTGATTGCCTTTAGATTCTTGGAACCAGCAGAACATTGACATATATTAAGGAACATTCCATAGTGGACCCAGTAAAGAAGAAAATGGTTTTATGTTCAACAAATGTGAGTAATGTCTTTTTACATCCAATGGCCAAAATGCTATGCTGGTATATTCGAAATGTATTGTATAAAAGCATAGTTGATAGGCCGGTCTTTGAATCTTAGAGGGCTTCAAATGGACTTCTAAAGGGCTTTAAAAGGGTTACTTTAGACAAAACGTTTTTTTGTCATTTTGGAATGCATGTGCCAGAGTTCTAGGAAGGCCCTTTCATACTTTCATAAGAAGTAATGGACCTATATATACTGTATATATAAATATATAGTATACACACAAGTAATAACAAAAGTATTGGAACACCCTTCCAAATCATTGGATTCAGGTGTTCCAAACACCTCCATGGCCACAGGTGTATAAAATCAAGCACCTAGGCATGCAGACTGCTTCTACAAACATTTGTGAAAGAATGGGTCGCTCTCAGGAGCTCAGTGAATTCAAGCGTAGTAATGTGATAGGTTGCCACCTGTGCAATAAGTCCATCCATTAAATTTCCTTGCTACTAAATATTCCACGATCAACTGTTAGTGGTATTATAACAAAGTGGAAGCAACTGGGAACAACAGCAACTCAGCCACGAAGCGGTAGATTACGTAAAATGACAGAGCGGGGTCAGCGCATGCTGAAGAGCACAGTGCACAGAAGTCACCAACTGTCTGCAGAGTCAATTGCTAAAGACCTCATAACTTTGTGTGGCCTTCAGATTAGCACAACAGTGCATAAAGAGCTCCATGGAATGGGTTTCCATGGCTCAGAAGCTGCATTTAGCCTTACATCACCAAGTGCAATGCAAAGCATCAGATACAGTGGTGTAAAGCATGCTGCCACTGGACTCTAGAGAAGTGGAGATGTGTTCTCTGGAGTGACAAATCACACTTCTCTTTCTGGCAATCCGATGGACATGTCTGGGTTTGGTGATTGCCAGGAGAATGGTACTTGCCCGACTGCATTGTGCCAAGTGTAAAGTTTGGTGGAGGGGGGATTATGGTGTGGGGTTGTTTTTTAGGGGTTGGGCTTGGCCCTTAGTTTCAGTAAAGGGAACTCTTAAGGTATCAGCATACCAAGACATTTTGGACAATTTCATGCTCCCAACTTTGTGGGAACAGTTTGGGGATGGCCCCTTCCTGTTCCAAAATGACTACACACCACTACACAAAGCAAGGCCCATAAAGACATGGATGAGTGAGTTTGGGGTGGAGGAACTTGACTGACCTGTACAGAGTGCTGACCTCAACCCAATAGAACACATTTGAGATGAATTCGAGTAAGACTGCGCGCCAGACCATCTCATCCGACATCATTGCTTGACCTCACAAATGCTCTTCTGGAAGAATGGTCAAACATTCCCATAGACACACTCCTAAACCTTGTGGACAGCCTTCCCAGAAGAGATGAAGCTGTTATAGCTGCAAAGGGTGGGCCAATTCTATATTGAACCCTACGGACTAAGATTGGGATGCCATTAAAGTTCATGTGCGTGTAAAGTCAGGTGGTCCAATACCTTCGGCAATATAGTGTGTGCGTATATATATATATATGCATGTGTGTGTGTAGGTGTTCACAAGCCGGACAGATTCTAGAGGAACCTCTGCATGTTTTTAGTGGATCACAAAAAAAATTAAATATAGAAAATCATTTGTACGTTTATTTTTATGGATTAACAATTGTTTTTTTTTTTTTTAAGATATCACTCACAAATCTGGTGTCTGTTGATGAAAGGTTGGTTTACACACCTCATCCCGAACATCCAGAAGAGTAAGTAGCTTGTTAAAGCTACATAGCAGATTGTTGTATTTGGTGTCTTCATTCTTGATATCAAAGTGAATACAGAATCAGATATGCAGTATTTACTGTATATATGTTATGTACATGTAAGCTAAGCAATGTGTAAGTATAACACTTACAAGTGTTTATTACCCCTAAAAGGGATCATAGTACTGTACCCAACAATGCTTTTGTCTGTTTTTCTCTCTAGAAGAATGGTGCCATCTTTGTTTAGACATTATACAGACGTGGTCTCCAAACTGTGGCCCTGGGGCCAGTTGCGGCCCTTTGCTTGCCTTTATCTGGCCCTTGGGATACTATTCCTCCAACTGACAACAATGATGGGGCACCATTCCTCCCACTAACACAATCGATGGGGTACTATTCCTCCCACTCATACCAAGAATGAGGCACTATTCCTCCCACTAACACCGCTGATGGGGCATTGTTTACGCACTGACACTAAGGCATTTTCTACTCACACTGATCACAGTCTGGCCCCCTAAAGTCTGAATGTCAGTAAACTGGCCCTTTGCTTAGAAAGTTTGGAGACTTCATTATACAGGATGAGCATCTTATATTTTTCGGACTAAGATGTTGGCTCAGAGATGACAGTAAAAATGTAAATCCTGGTGCCTCCGCAGTTCTAGGTTATGTTCACAAATATCAAACACAAATGAATTCCTTGCTGCATCTTTTCACCTTGTAACTTGCTGCAAATACAGTCTGATCACTGGAGGAGAGGAGACTGAGGAAATGCTTCCTCCTCCTGCAGCAGACTGATGCAGGAAGAATCAGCCTACACAAAGCCACTTGTCTGGAGATCAAGGACTACTTTTAAACAATAATAAAATGTTTTTTTTCTGAAAAGTTATACTGTTGATGTATATTGTGAAATGTCTGAAATGTCAACTGTAAACTGCAATTTAAAAAAACAATATGTTAAACCAAAGACTGATACTCTTGCTGGAAGAAATGTTCAGAACCCACTAGAAAACATTTAAATCAGATTCTGGCAGTTCAGTTACCTAATAAAAGTCCTTCTGATTAGTTGCTATATTGCTGCTTGCACAATATAGGTAATATGTTAGAATGCTTATTTAACTGTATCTAGTGTATTTTGCCCTGTTTTCTCTCTAGGACAGTACTGACCCAAGAAGCCATAATTACAGTGAAAGGAGTCAGCCTGAGTAGTTATCTGGAAGGATTGATGGCTAACACAATTTCTTCAAATGCTAGAAAGGTACCTTGTGTGTGAAGATGTAAATTATTAAACAGATTATATTATTTTACCAGCTGACATTGCTACTGGTATGCTGTGTATGAAGCCTGCAAGTTTATATAGTTGCCAGTACAGATAATAACTATTCATACATCCCTGCTCTATTTAACGAATGGCAAGAATAGAGTCAGATGCCTGGGACAAACGTAACATCACCGTAGTTATCATTTTAGTCACATCATCAGTGGCTTTCCAAAGGCTAATGAAGCACGTCGTGGGACCTGGAAGATGTGATGACGGGGGACAAAGTGTCATCGATGGAGCATAGCACAGTAAGTGTGACTATGGTGTTTGAGAGCTTACTCCCACCACTGTACGTTTTGTATGCTTTAATAGAATAAGGTAGTATAGTAATTTTGATGGGTTTTCATTGCTTTCTGTGCTTTTATTCCCCAGTAATAGCTGACCACTACATTTTTGTCCTGGTGGCACATTGACAAAAAGTGAAGGGAAATCTGTCCAGTGAAGTCATGGACAGCAATAAATCCAGATAAAAATTTTAAGCCTTCCACGCCGTATTCAAAACTAAAAAACTGTGTTAGGGCTTTTATGTTTACTTTATTTTTGTATTGCACAAATTGTAGTTTTTAGGTTGGAGGATATAAAACTATCTGATATATTTTAGGCTTAGTTTACCAAATGACAGAAGAGTTCCTTGTTAGGAATCCCCGGGCCTCAGGCCATATCTTATACACATACTGTATGTTTTCTGCATGCTGCTTTTAACTATCGCATTGTATGTCTGATTTCCATTTAGTCTTCGCAGACTTGTCTTTCATATTTGTATATTGAATTATTTTCTGTGTCACTCTAGGGGTGGGATGCAATTGAATGGATCATTCAAAATTCTGAGAGCACAGTAAGCTAACAGTGTCTGCCTCTGCTGTTTATACTAACTTGGTAACTATGCAACTTTTGACTGCATTATATTTGCATGTGTTTTGAGCGTGTATGTGCATGCAACACAGTCTTGTGATAATGTTGTCTTTCAAGCTTGTCTACTACACTGTCCTGGTTCTCTGCTGTGGGAAGGTAGCTGGCTCTGAAATTTAGAATGTTTGATAAAAGTGCATACAAGATCTGAACTGTAACCAGTTTCTTCTGAGAATATTAGTAGACAGGTTTCCAGCGCAGGAGATAATGAATGCAATGTAGCATAAACACCTGCTATCTTAGCATATAATGAAAGTAGGATGTGGCAACAAGATATGCTTTTTTTCTTTATCCATTTTTATCAGAGGAACAGTTAAGTTAAAAGCAGACATAGGGGTAATTTACTAAAACCAGAGAGCGCAGAGAAATCTTAATTGAACAACCTGAAGTGAGGATCTGATTGGCTACCATGCACAGCTGCACCAGATTTTCCACTCTTCAGTTTTAGTAAATCAACCCCATACTGTTATTTCTTAACTCATTCTGTAACATACACTGTAGGCATCTCTCCTCTATCTTTCTGTTGTTTCATTATGCCTTATATGCTTTCAAGGATATTTATTTTACACTCTTCTGTCCTGGGGTTGGTGGGTCCAATACCTTCACCTACCATTCTGTAATGGAGGGTAATAGGACCCATTCATCAAAGAACCATTACTATATTATCATAGAGATGAAATGACCAGTACCTTCAACATACGACCCATTACTCATCTATCATTGGGATGATGGAACCAAACTTTCAGAGAACCCATGAATTTCTATCACAGGGTAAAAGGACCAATGCCTATATCAGGTAACCCATTACTCTTCCACACCTTCATCAGAAAACCAATTAATCTTCTATATTGTGGGCAATGGGACCAATACTTTGCTCAAAGAATCTCTTACTCTTCTATCATAGAGGTGATAGAATCAATACATCAGGAAACCAATTACTCTTCTATCATGGCTGTGATAGGGTATACCAATATCCAATTAAACTAGGCAAAGTTAAATTTCAAGTCTAAAACTTTGATAAAGCTGCTAAAATCTTCTATCAATTTAATGTTGGGTTGGGGGAGGGGGGGGGTAGTTTTCAATGGGCCAGGGATGCAAGATGGTGTAGCACTGGACAACAGTATGAACCTGCTCCAAGAAGTCTTGTAGAGTTTGACACCAGAAAACATGGAGATGCACCACAGGGAATCTTGTACCAGTGTGCAAAAAATGTGTATCCTGATTCCTGGTTACTTTCTGGAAGCTTTATAGAACTATGAGTGAGAATTTGTGCTCTGATTGGATAGTCCATCCATTAAAGCACACATTCTCCCAGGCTGCTAGTTTTCTTTTGAAAATGGTTATTTATGGGGCAACATTTAGAAGGTATGGGTGTGATAGGTCTCTGAGCAGTTAAATATCTAGGTACTTAAGAGATGGGAAGGCCATTTAAAGAGAAGAAGGCCTTTAGCCTCTGATGTTTGATAATAAATGTGGAAATTAGATAGTTCCCCAAACTTTGAGAATACAGATGGCGTGTGGGGTAAAAATATAAAGGTTATTGCTGAAGAAGAGGAGGTCAAGGGACCTCATAATGTATAATGGCAGTCTGTTTTCCACTAATGTCACGGTGTGCCCTTATCTTTTGAATCAAAGGTTTGAGCGATAAAATGCAATTCAGGTGAGAAAAGGGCACCCCTAACATGTCCCATTCCTTGTCTCAGGACACTGCTTACTCTTACATGGGAAGAGGGGGGAGGATTACAAGACATATCCTGTACTGCATATTTTTTCTCAGCAACAGTCATGAAGATGGGGGGGGGGGTCCTTCAATAGGACTGAGTCATCTCATGCCTCCTTAGTGGGCATGAATCCTTCACGGTCTAGGTGGATAATGTGTTGCAGATGGGAGATCAGGCAGTGGATTTTTGCAAAAAATATTCAGTTCTATATTAAATAGAGATATAGGCCCATAGCTTGCACAGAAAAGGGGTCCTTCTGCTCTTTGGGTAGCACAGTAATTTGGGTGGTTAAAGTGTCCGTTGTGGGTTTGAGATCGTCATGAAGAATTTAAGGCTTTTATGAAGTATGGGTCTGTTTGGCCTGGATTTTTTGTAATAGGTAAGGAAAAAGCCTTCTGAGCCTGGTGTTGTCTCCATTTTATTCTGTTTAATGACATGTTCAAGTTCCAGTAATATGATTGGCAGTTTATTTGGGGGTTTAGGGATGGGAGACCCGAGTTGCTACATTGAGTTTCTTATTTGTAAAAACTATGCCTACATTTAGTCAGGGTAGCTTTGACCCCAAAAGGCTTAGTGATTGCAAATAAGTTTAGAGAAGCAGCTTTTACATGCTTGTTTATTTATTTTTGTGAGCTGTCTTGAGTTAATTATTCTGGGTTAGACGGTCTGTCACACACTGAGAACTTTGTTATTTAAGTGCTTGATCAAGACTCCACATATAAGATTTATGGGTTTCCTAAATTGTATGTGTGGTGGCAGGTGAGGGGTGTTATTCAATTACAGTACAATTGTAGTCAAGTTCTTTTTTGAGGTCCTTCATAATACTGGGATCTTGTAGGAGGGCCGCATGCAGGCACCAGAGGTGGGGTAGAGGGGGTAAATCATTTGTGATAATTGATAGTGAGATGGAAGCATCGTCAGATAGTTTTGATTAACAAAAAAAAAACCAATATAGGTCTTTGTTTGGAGGACTGGATGGGGGTTATGGATTCACCATAGAAGATATTTTTCAGTTTTTTCAGCAAAACATAAATGGGAGGCCAAACCAGTGGGAGTCCAGCTGAGGATCAAAAGGAGGTATTAAGAACAGAGTGTGAGCCACTTTATTTGTGGGTGAGCCAGAATGAAAGATTGTGGATGGATATTTGTTCTTCATAAATTTTATAAAGTTTATCTGTTCAAAAATTGGTTTCTTTAGGGATCACAACAAATGCTTTTTTATATAGGCCAGTAAATATCATTCTATATTTTTGTGGGTCCCGAATCCCTGGGCGTTCAGTGAGAAAATGTGAATTGCAGTTATTCGGAACTTGGGTTGTCCTTAGTGGGGGTTGGAGGTAAGGGGGTAGGTGAAGTAGAAGGGGCATCGAGATAAAGAAAGGAGAGGAAGGTGCAGAGTTGGGGGAACTGGATCTCTTTCTAGGGGAAGGGGGGGGGGGGGTGTTGAGAAGGATGAAGGGAGTGGAAGAAGGTCAGAGGATAAAGAATACGACTTAGGGTGGCAGAGGCTTCTATCCTCCTCTCCACTGAGGCTAAGGAGTAGAGTAGTTTAAAGCTGAGTGGAGTAGTAGAGTACCTAGTGGTCCTTGAAAATGTGGGTCATAATTTAGATGTGGAGAGGTGTGAACAGGAGATGGGGGGGGGGGGGGACTCAAGGGTTATGGTGTAGTCTAGGGGGTTCTAAGTAAAGGAAAAAGGACTTGTCACCCTTGGATTGAACCAGACAAGCCAAAGTAAGTATCCTATAGAGGGGTGGGTGTCGCACCATGTGTATGTGGAGCTCCCAGAAACCCAGGTCATGATGGGGATAGTATCTTTGGGTCACAGGTGTGTGTAGTCACAGCCAGCCTGAGAGTTATAATGCTATGAAGGTAAACGTATGTTAGAGGTATGAAGATAAACATAGATTACCAGGTAAGCATTTGTAGGAAACAAAACAATGCAGTGCAACAGATAAAATGGTTATAAAACAAAGGATATATAGATTAGGTTCTCTTGGATACCCAGGGAAGGGAAGGTCAAGGTATGAAGGAAAGGTCATCACGGCACCAGGGTATGTACAAGAGGGTCATCGCCCCCAAACAAAGCAGAGGGTGTGAAAGGGTTCCCATTCAGGTGGTAATGAGAGTAACTATCAAATTGTGGGAGACCATGGGTTTTCACAGGGGTGAGCTCTTCATTAACATGGCAGCGCTCGGGTGACAAGGTGGTTACTTGATTGGGCTGGTGTTGCCCTTGGGAGGGATTCTGGGATTGGAAATGAGTTACCCAGGTAGGGGGGGGGGGGGGGGGGGGGGGGGGTGAGTGCACTTGTATAGTTAACCTGTCAACAGAGATAACAGCTTTTGCATATTACCATGAGAACAGAATAGAATAAGAGGACAGTGCAACTCAAGAGTAACATTCCCAATAGCATGGCTCCAGGAGAGAATGAACACAGACTTGGTCTGGAGGGGGGAACACACTCTACCATCTGTCAGGGGAAGAACTCCATTTGCACTAGCTTAAGATGGGGATCATAAACAGATGTGCCCTGTGATATTCTAGTCCTTTTCCACACTTTAGACTTAACCCTGTTATGGACAATGGGTACATTAGCTAACCTTTTGGACAGAAATTAAAAGTTGTCAACACATGCTAGAGCAGGGGTGGGCAATTAATTTTCTCAAGGGGCCACATGAAAACTGGGACTGTGGTGGAAGGCATCGAGGGCCTGATAGGGACACAGCCAAAGGGCCAGATTAGGTCTGGGTTAGAGCAGGGGCGGACTGACAACTCATGGGGCCCCCGGGCAATGAGATAATGGGGCCCCCGGGCAATAAGAGATAATGGGGCCCCCTGTGTCCCTGCCTACACAAGCCACACCCACACAACACCCCACCTACATATTGCAGTTCAGCGGCATGGAAGGGGCATTTAAATATTTACTGCAGCAAATACTGCATGAATGTTCCCGGCTTCTTTCCGTAGAAGCCACTGGGTACTTCCAGGTTTAAAGATGGCTGCAATGTGGGGGAAGGAAGAGAAGGAGGGGAGTGAGAGAGAGAGGAAGAGGTGAGAGAGATGGGGGTGAGAGAGAGGGGGTGTGTTTTAAATTGTACTAAATATTGGGCGTGGCTTAAAAGGGGTGTGGTTAAATAGTGTCTGAGATGACTTACATAATGCAGAATGTGTTAATGTTAAATAGGGATTTTTGTATTATTTTTCACAATGA